CACTCTATTAAAATGATTTTAGGTGTCATTGGTATAAAACCGATGCCGTGGGAGACGCTGCTTGTGTATCTTTGTGTCTGCAGCTGAGAGTTCGGCAAAGGAAAAACAACAGGTGAAGAAATGCTGATGCTGAGCCAAAGTCATCGAGAGCAGAAGGCAAACCAGTGTCCGGTCAGACAGATGGTGCTGCTCCACAAAATCCCACCAATCAGGTGACCGAACTGCAGCCCAAGCAAACCTATTATGCCATCAGCTATCAACATCTAAGAGATTTTAAAAAAAAGAAAAAAGATTCAAAGGATGATCCGTCAGACTCCATCAGGGGGAAAAGACATCACAGCAGTATTTTGTGTGCATATGAGCATTTTTATTGTGTCATTTTATCCAGCACTGCAGGCGCTTTATGGGCTTTGATTAAATATTCATGCTGGAATATCATTATGTCAATCAAGACGCACTGAGAGAGCTGCTTCTGATGGGAGTCAGACAAATTCACACTAGGGTAAATGAGTAAAGCTAATATGTACGTGAAGTTTTATACTAAATTACAAAACGATTTCCCTCCTCTCACTCTCTGTTGCACAAACCGAGGATGCCGACTGAGGAAAAACTGCCGAAGTGGTCAAAAAGGAGCAGTGGTGCTGTGGTGTGTTCTGTTTCCTGTGGCACTCCTCTTTCTAATACTACACACCTTTTTTCCTTTTAACGTGCTAATACGCACACACTTTGAAGTATGTGTTGATACTATCAGTGCTGGTGTTTCTTATAGTTTGTTAAGGCTCTTTAAAAATGAAGCCATGGGCCTTTGGTGTCAGACAAGTAAAAGGTCACTTTGGATGAAGATGGTACGAGACATGGGTGCATCTTAATGATGGTGACAAATGAGATTAATCAGTCTGCTCAGAGATGCTGAAGAATTAATGCTGTGCAGAAATCCATCTGTTTCTAAACATGTTCTTAGGCGAGCGAGCGTCAGCTGGGTCACAGTGAGCGACTGAAGGAGATGAGGGAAATGGCGACAGTCCATGAGCGCCAACTGGCCGTGATACGTGCTCATAACCAGCAGTTGGAGCAGTACAGAGATGGTGTGGAGGAATAAAATACCAGAAGTTGCTCGAGACTGGTTATATCGTTACATTATCAACATACAGAAAGTAACATGCAAAGATTTAAAGTATCATGTCACATTTGACCTCTGACCTCTCTGTCAAGGTCAATAAATTGATCTGAAAATCAAAGTTATAAAAACTATAGAGCTATTTAAAACTAAAATTAGCACAAAAAGAAAGGAAATTGATGTTTGGTGGATTGTTTCTTGTAACAATGTTTATTGGCTGTGAGTTGTTTGCTGTTGGAAAGCCTGTTTATTTCCCCTTAAATGGAGCCACACTTGTAACGTGGGTTGAGCAGCAGAGTTGAATATGGGGGTTGCGTCCATGAAAAACTTGCCAGATCCTCTCTGGCAATGTCAGACAGTTTATTCTTTGTTGTGTTGTTTATTAAATTGTATCATTAAAGAAAAAAGAGATATTGGCCATTGAAGTATATATTTAGTTTACAAGCACAGGCCTCACAGAGAGGCCACACAGAGCCACAGCAACCGGGCACCTGCTCCTCATGCTGGTCATCAGCTCAGTCGCATACTGGTGTGGGATGTCATCCCATTCTTCGACCAGCAATTGTCGCCAGTCAGCCAGTGTGGCTCTGGCAAAAACGGCACATCCAAACTGATCCCACAAATGTTCAAAGGGGTTGAGGGCAGAACTGCAGACAGGCCACTCTGTCCTCTCACTCCCAAAAACTGGCAGTAGTCTCTGATAAATCCCACTCATGGAGAACAGCATTTGGCTCCAGGTTGTGGAGATATGGGATTGCCGCTGATTGCAGAGTCCCCAATGATGGCAAGCCTTGTTTTTTTTACAGTAAAGCTGCCTCACGCCAGAAGCTGTTACTCTATTGCTGCAGCAATCAGCATAGCAGTCGCTGCGTCTCCACACTGTGATGCTAACATCCAACTAGCATAGACAGAATGTGGACTCATCACTGAACATAACGTTGCTCCATATGGAACCAGAGATCGGCTGTGTGAAGTCGGTTCCAGATCGCAACTCCAACTTGGTTTTGCAGAACACCAGCTTGAAGTTGGTTTATGACATGAACCTTATCCAGATCGGTCAAATGTTGCATGCTTGGAGCGCTCACCTACTGATCGCTGTAGCAGGGTCGATGCTCATAGGTGGTGCTAATCAAGCACCTGACTGTCAGCACTTAGGGTAACAGGGTACCTTTCCAGCAACTTATTTAATCAATTTTTCTTTAAAATACTGAAAAATTAAAATGTATTTAATTATTTCCCATTGATGATAAATGATAGATAATATAGATGATAATAAGATGATAGATAGCACAAAGTGATGGACTGGGACAAAGTTTACTTGATATGTGTTAGTCTGAGCAGGGACATATTCACAGTATTCAAACAGAACTCACTGCTCATATTGTATTTTTCACACAAGAGGCATATTCTTTGTAGCTAAAATATTTTTTCTAGCTACTGGATGAGTCAGAGCATCAATTATGTATTTCATTAGGGGGTAGTCCCTCATTGTGGTGTCTGTGGTAGACTAAATTAAATTTAGTAGGGTGGATTCTGGCTGGGAAACCTTCGATAAATGGCACGGCATTATCTAATTTCAATGATCTGTTACAGTGCTTTTGTTCTTGTTTTGTTTTTTGAGTGTGCAAGAGGACTCTGCATCTGCCAATCGACCAATTACCCTCCAGCATAAAAAGATGCATCATGACACCTAAATTTCTTCTGTGGAAACCATTTTCCTCCATTTCTCTTGCTTTAAAAACAAAACAAAACGTGTGAATATGAATTAGCTCTCTTTTTATGAGGTTAAACCATGTTTGTGCTGCAGAGCCCCGCAGCAGGCAGGTCAGATCCAGCCACTGTGGTACAGATGATTGATCTGCAGGCAAACACTCAAAGCCTGGAGAGAAATCAACCACCACCAGCAGCTGCCACCGCTATTGGCCAGAAAGAAGACTAAGAATCAGAGTGATCACGAAGAGAAAATACGTAGTGCTCATCACTGTGTAACCCTCTGTCAACACAGCTGTGCTCAGTGAAGCCTCAATGAAGTTTACTCAGCTTGATTTTTCCACTCTAAAAAGTGATTTACTCTTTGAAGTTTATGGATATCAGATTCTGGTCCAACATTTGTTTCCTGTGATTAGTTCTAACACCCCAAAAACAGGGATAAATTAGAGTTGTGTATAGAGGCAACAAAGAATATAACTGAGTATTGGTTTAGGTTGCGGGATCCAGTGAGCCAAAAAGAAAAAGCACTGCCATGGAGGTGGAGCGGTATTTGCAATACAATTCTGCAAAATCTGTTCTTGGGTAGTTCTTTGAAGTACAGAGCAAATTACATGCACTTTCCTTAATCTTTACTGCAGTGTTATGTGCCAGTTTTTGGAAGGGAATTACCAAGTACCAGGTGTTAGCAGGATTATGTCAACTCGAGGGAATTTTTTGAAACTACAGTACTGGACAAAGAGCCACACTGTTAAGATATTTTAGTGCTACAGGGACATGATTAGAGTGATAAAAGTGCTGCTGAAATTAGTCACAGAAATACATATCCTGCTTAGTTACAGCCACCTTGTGTCTGTGTGTTCTACAGCTCCAATGACTGAGACCGAGCTTGTGTTGATTTAAAGGGTCAAGCTTCATCAGGTTGCCAGTTTGCAGGCCAAGACTGAGAGAAGGAAAAGAAGAGGGAAAGAAACTCCCAAGCCCAGGATGCCACCTCCTCTATCTCCGCTTCAGCAAAAAGAACTTCATTCATGCACCTGTTTCAGTTAGGATTTCCAGAAGACAAACAAAGATGTGTCATTCAGGACAGTTTTAAGTACTAAACTTCAGTTCATTGCTGGTGATTTTCTGTGACAAGAATTCACAAACTCTGTTTGGTACCCAAAGAGCATATTATATGTTGCCATCACAAATCATGATTTGTTGTTTTTGTAATGCTCTGAGACTTGTAGTTTTTTTAATGACTGAATATAATCTGTAGAGCACGTCAGCAGGCTTCAGATGAGCCAAGAACAATCAGGCCGTTGGTGTTTATCTAAAAAGAAATATGATTAAAACAGTAACTCGTCCTGAGTTTAATTCATGTGTAAAGATAAAATGTTAAGACTTGCACACCTGCAGGGGTACTCGAATTTCAGGAATCTGCATCCAGCACAGATTGCTATTAATGGGTGCTGATTATACATGTCCCAAATTAATCTTGAAAATAGCATGTTTCTTTTACTCGTGAGAACAGTTTCACTCCAATTTGGAATCATTAATAAACACTGTCCGTCCTCAAATCTCCACAGCAGCCACTAGAGGGCGCCAGTGCACAGTTTGTGCCAATAAGTATTGCACAGCTAAAAAGCAGTAGCATATTCATTAAGTGTTCAGTCCTCTTCAGTTAGCAGTTTCAAGTTGCAGACTCTTTGTTTTGGTACATGGTGAAGCAAGTAATACTTCAACTCATCATTTGTCTCCTTATAAACTTAAGGTGAAAAACATGGAGCACATTTGGTGTATTTGGTCAACGGCAGAGACATGCAGTGTGGAAATGCCTAATAATTGCAGTGGTAAAATATAAATATGCAGTTTTGGTAGGTTAGGATGGCTCTTCAGGTTTGAATTTGATGCCACAGTCCTTCACCTAACATACCAGGCCAGCCAGGAGCTGAAAGACATGGCCATACAGAAAGCACCCCTTCTTGTCTGCATTGATTCAACTGTTGTCTCTTACTTTACTCTCATAGGGAGGCCTAACAATAATATGTAGGGTGGTGAAAGATTTTGTGAAAATTGTTCTTTACATAATTTATACAGTCCAAAAGTTGTTTTGGACATCTGCTCATAAGTGCATAGATGTTTATGTGAAATAATTGGAAGTGGCATCAATGGACTGAAGAAATCAATATTGCATAGTTACATCTGCAGATTCTTTATTTTTACTACAAGTATACAAAAACTTGACAGACAAATCTATGAAAATGGATCTTATTTACAGAAACAAGAGTGCTGAAAGGTGTATAGGGGCTGGACAGGCATGATGTGCTGGTTTCTGAGATCAGTAAAGAGGTGAAGACGGTCACGCCGGGGACTCGACAGATGCAGACTGGGTGGCAGACTAGGAAGGAAAAAAAAACCAAACAAAAAAAAACAACACAGCAATTAGTGAATGTTAACATAAGAGGCGACAAATGAGTGAAGAATTTTAAACCTGCAGGTTTGTCAGATATTCACTTGTTCCATTTGGTAAACATATTCACAGAAGGCATGAATTATACTTGTTCAAAATTGCCTTCAGCTACAGCAAGATTGATGCTGTGTAGTTTAAGTGGATAAATCATCCAAAGACCGAGAAAACCTCCTTCACTACAACTCAATTAAGGACCCACTCCAAGTTCTCGCATGCATCCAGTTTTAACCTTTATGAAACTAAGGAGTCTTCTTGTTCCACCAGAAACCACATTTAGGTATGGACTCCTGGCCACCAGCCAGCTACAGCAGTAGTATCACAGGGCAATCCTGTTTCAGAAGGTAAGAGATAAGCCTATCACTCGCCTCCTGTGATTTCCCCTCCTGGACTCCATTGCCGTTGCTGGCACTAGAGTCACCGCTGCCATTAACTGTGCCTTCCTGTTTCGCTTGTTTAGCATCAGTGTCCTTTACTGGGCTCTCGTCCTCTGGTTTCCTCTGTGCAGAAACAAAACCAGGACAAAAAGGGAGGAAGAGAAGACTGAAGGCTTCTGTACACAAACCGAAATTGAAGTGATCCATTACCAGTCATTAGGAAATAATAACTTAATGAACCATGCACACAAGCCACGCCAAATCAAAGCTTAATTTCAAGCATAAAGCCCCATCTACATGCGCACACAGCTCTGGTTAGGAGCCACACCACACAGGCTTGCCACTGATCTGCAGAAAAATCTAAAAATGAACTTTACAACTGCAACCAGCAAAGACAGACCTCACAACAAAGATAAGCAGCACATGCCACAGCTTCAACGCACTGATTGAACCCAGTACAATTCAACGCTGAAGGTTTATTCCTTCACAGATTAAATGATTGGCATGAGAAAAAGCAAAGTCCATTTTTCCTCTTCACTGAGAAGAAGCCAAAGGGGGGTGGGAGACACATTAGAGAGCCTCACCTTTTTCCTGACGAGGTGAGAGATGTCAGAGACCGCTTTGGAAGATGAGGCACTCTCAGTTTTAACTGGAGCCTAGAATACACAAGTTTGAATCCCACCGAATAAGTAACACAGGTGGCAAAATGCTTTATTTAGCACGTGGCACCATACATTACCCTTACCTGACTGGTTGTTGCAAAAGCTGCCGATGAAGTGCTGCCATTTTCACAAAGGAATGCTGATGAAGTTGATGCACCACCCTGAAAGAGGAGAGTCAAATACAATTCAAGACTACCGAACTAGTAAACTCAGGTGCACATTTCACCATCCTGTGTACCCACTAGTGTCTGCTGGATGGCCTGTGAGGCAGCGCTGGCTGTTTTCTGGCTTTCCTTGGCATCCTCCACTTTTTCCCGGATGTCAGGCAAAAGCAGCTTTAGCTCATCCAGCTCATTTTTCTCCTCTGCTGCTCCATCTGCGCCTTCGGCTGCATCGATCACCTCCTGCAGCATGGCTGTACCAACAACCAGATCAGAAAGTCACAACATGGAAGACAAAACAATTACAACCTTCTGGGACCGTTTATGTTTTGGTGTTCAGTGGGTGTCCTCTCCCAAAGAGATGCAGTGCTATTCATACCTACAAATCACAATCATTATTTGGATTTCATATATTAAGCACAAAAAATAAAATATTCAGTTGAGGGGAGGAGTAAATTCTTACCCAAACGGGTCTCAATGACCTTTATGGAGCTGTTGTAGTGCTGGATGGCCTGGCTGTACTGATCCATATAGCAGAGCGTAGTAGCAACATGGTAGTGGGTCTCAGCCAACAGACGATTGTGGGGAGGCAAGTATTTCAGCTGCAGGGCAAGACACTCCTGGAAGTCATCAAGTGCCTGAGGATAGTTACCTATGGGTGGGAGTGACAAGCAGTGAGATTTGGGCATTGGAGACTGTAAGGGCAGTAAGTCTACCTCTTGCATGAGCAGCAGCATACCTGATTCAGCACTGACTTCTCCAAGTTTCAGATACGCCTGGGCTGCCATTAGCTGATCCTCTTGGCTTTCCTTTCTGTGGAGAAGTAGCTTTAAAATTGTAAGCTGGCCTCAGGCTGTCAACAGTCAATGCAGTCTAACCACTCATTTAACCATGCAAGCGCTAATGTTCATACACATTTAACCAAATCATTTCATACCTTTTGTAGATGACTTTAGCTACTTCTAGCATTTCCCATGCCAACTGCAAATTCCCAACTTCCTCTTCTTCCTGAAAGGAGGGAGGGAGCTGTGTTGGTCAATAGCCACTAACACCCAATCATGACTATTCAGCAGACATTTACAGTACAAACTACTTCAGGCACCTGATATTTGCATTTGTAGGAAAAGGTTTTTCCCTTCTTATGTTAAAATCCAGAAGAATTAAGATCTTTGTGATCATAATGTCATAGTAAAGAAACACGTAGCTACACTGCTTGCAAATTATTTACTTCATTGCACAGTTCTATAGGAACTCACCTTATCTTGTCCATTTTTCTCTCCAGCTTCATCATCACCGTCGTCATCGTCATCATCATCATCATCATCGTCATCATCATCTGTTGAAGCAAAATTATACATTTTAAGTTCCAAACATCCCCTCATGTATTAAAGTCAGAAACGTGCACCACAGATTTGTGCCTGCATTTCCACCCTTCACCACTGCGACACCTGCTAAAGTGGACCGTTTAAATATCAACTGTGCACCCATCCACACCAGAAGGTGCTCTTTGACTCAAGCTCTACTACCCTCTGTTTCCTCTTTGTCCTCATCACATCCGCTCACTGGTTTCACCCCAGTCCCATTGCCAGTCTGCTCTTCTGAACTGTCAGCCTTCTGTTCAATCTCAGTTTCTTTTCCAAGTGATCCTTCCCGTACACTTTTCACAGAAGAAACTCCATCCATCTCAGTTTCCTGAGACAAGCTCTTCTCATCCCCAGTCACAGGAGAATGTGGATCCTCAGCCTTTTTCTTCTCTGCCATTGCGTCATATACCTGCTGTCGCAGCTCATCTCTTGTTTTTTCTGCACCAGAGTGGCACATATA